CACGAGCGAGTGGCGAGTGGCGACGACAATGAGACGAAGGACGTGGGGGATGGCGATGGGCGATGGCCGATGGGGCGAGGGCAATGGCGATGGCCGATGGGGCGAGGGCAATGGCGATGGGAGTTAGCGACGCCGGAGATGGTGATGGGCGGCCTAGGTTTTTTTTATTTTATTTTAGGGGAACGGGGTTATGGGTAGAAAGAAGGAAGACAGAAAAATGAACTGGTAAGGAGTAGAAAATGTGGATATATTCATGAGTGGAATGAAATTTTAAAATGACCAAATTCACCCTAGAGTATATTGCCTTGTATTAAACCTCTAAAGCCTATTTTTGTAAATTTACATAAATAACGAGCAGCTCGTCGAGCTGCTCGCGACTGCATAAACTGGGCTCGAGACTCGGCTCGAGATCGACTCGAGCAGCTCGAGCTCGACTCGAGCTCAAGTTTGACCGAGCTCGAGCCGAGCTTTGACTCGAGCGCTCGCGAGCTGCTCGAATCGTTTGCAGCCCTAGTTGTGAGTAACCAAATCAAATAGTAAATTCTTTTCAATAGAAAATTCATTCTCAAATTAAAAAATATTATCCAAATACTTTTATATCAACTTTTACAATTATTCAATATTACTCACATATTTAATAAATATACAAACTATACACTTTTTTAATTTATATTCGATTAAAGAATCAATAATAGATTAAATATTTCTATAAAAAAATTTGAATATTATTGGTAAGTAAGTAAAATTTTGTTTGAAATGATTTCCAATATTTCTTAGAATGTTGATACATTAATTCAAAATTTTGGTAGGAATAATTTGTATATATTCTATAATAACTTTTACTATTATTGAATTAAAAACATTATTGAATATTAGGGGTGAGCATGGATCGGTACGGTTCGAAGATAGAGAAATCTCCGAAACCATACCAAAATTCGGAGATCATTATATTCGATCTCCAGAACCGTACAAAAAAATCGAGACAGTTCGGTTCGGAGATTTTTATTTTTTGGTTCGGTTCAGTATTCAAGACTATCAGAACGGTTCGGTTCAGATTTTTAGAGATTTTTTTTTAAATATTTTTTGAATGACTACCTAGTATTTTAACTTTTTACATGCTTTACTAAAAAAATATTCATCAATACTTCATCATATTGAAGATTTTATTTTGAAATCAACTTTATAAGTAAATCTAAATTTTAGTCTTTTCATTTTAATATGCTTTAAACAAACCAACATTCATCAATATTTCCTCATATTAAAGATTTTATTTTGAAATCAACTTTAGAAGTAACTCTAAATTTTAGTTTAGACTAAATTTGTACAATTAATATTGAAAATTTAAAATTCAAACAAAATATAATATAGTTTTTCCTTAAAAAATATTTTTTAACCTTTCATTCCATTTTAAATAATATTTTTAGAACAAGAAAAATTCAATTGTAGATCAAGTATTACTAAGTATGAAATTTAAGTGAACTTTAGTTGTTATTACTATATTTTATTTGCATTTTAAAAATTCTCAAATTATATAAGATCAAAGTTGACATAAAAATATATTAATAACACACATCTAATGTTATAATTCGGTTCTTCGGTTCGATACGGAATGAGACGGTTCGGTTCAGTTCTCGGTACGGATATTTGTGAAATCTCCAGAACCGTACTAATTATTTTTTCGGTTTGTTTCGGTTCGGAGAAAGTCAAACGGTCAACGGTAATTTTTCTGTTCGGAGCGATTTTTGTTCGGTTTCCGTAACGGTTCAAAATTCTCCGAGTCTCATGCTCAGCCCTATTGAATATGCATACTCTATAATCTATATATGTATTTCACGAACAATACAATGCCAACATCACACCTAAAAAAAAATTTACACGAACTAACTGTTATATACCTGAACTAAAAACCATTATTCATATATAGCTAGTTCAGGATAAAGAAAGTCCATGTGCTAAGGCCTCGTTTACTTAAAGGGGTGTGATAGGATATGATAGAATGATTTAATTCCATGAGTCAGATTTTGTCTCATGAGTCAACTTTACTAAAATTTGTAATTATTTGGACGTTTAAAGATATAATGGACATTACACATATGATTTTTTAGAGACAAATGTCATTTTCTAGATAAAATTGGTTAAAAAATGTTATCACATCCTATCCTGGGAAGTAAAAGAGACCTAAGTATATAATTTTTTTATGAAAAAAATAATTTTGTTTAACATTTTCTAATTATATATTAAATGAAAAAAATAATAAGATGTAATAAATAAATATTATTACTTAAAAAATGATAATAGTAAAACACGAAATTATAACAAAAATATATTATGTAAAAGCTAAAATATATGATACAAACAAAAAGGATGAGGTTGTAATTATAAATAAATTATGTATATATGAATCGTGCAAAATATATGAACTGTGCAAATGTAATTTTGTGTTGGCAGGTGTTGGCTTGGTGATGTTATATGTATTCTCTTAAAAGGCAGTTTTTTTTTTCGAAATGATGAAATACCATTAAAACGAAAATAATATGTACAAAGTCTGGATGGGTGACTAGCCAACATACAGCTAAAACAAACGAGAGAACCCCTACAGAAGGGACTAGCAGGTAGAGAAAATATATACTAGCCTATACAAGGATACTAAAGGCAGTAATTGGTACTGAGGCCAATAGAACCTGGTACTGACTAAACAAAATGGACCATTTAACCACTGCTCAAAGAGCCTAGCTAGGAATGAGCAAAAAATGTCAAAAAATCTAGAACACCTACAAGAGCCATTGACTAACGAGAAGAGAATTCCTGCCATTCTAGGTAAGCTGAATCCACAATTTCCTTTTCATTTATCCACCTGTCTTGGAATACCCAAAAGTTGCGGGCTTTCCAGAGCCATCACAGTAGATAAGTGGTCAGCTCTATCCTATCCACAGCCTCAGGATCTTTAGATTTTATGCAGACCTGTTTCCACCAATGAGGGAAATCTTCAGTATATGTGTCTAGCTGCCAGTTAATGTGTGCAAGCTTCCACACAAGTTGTGCTCTTTGACACTGAAAGAACAGGTGAGATACATTCTCCTCAGCCTCTCCACAAACTTTGCATATGGGATCCAACTGAATTCCTCTATTGATAAGTTTCATGTTGACAGGAAGTGTATTGCTGAAACCTTGCCAGATAAAATGCTTGATTTTCCTTTTAATTTCAATTTCCAGCTAAAGTTCCTAACCTTTTTAGTCCAGGTATGATGGGAGCTGCTCTCAGTAATATCAAGACTTCTAACCTTTTTCATGATCAGATTTGAATATGAAGAAGCCACAGAAAACACCTCTTTCTTGTCAAAACTCCATATGAATCTATCTTTCTTTTGACTGTTGATGGTGGAGATATTCAGGATGGCATCACTCTCAGCCACAGAGAACAAATTTCTAATGAGGTTTTCATTCCAGTCATTCCCATTGTTCAACATGAGTTGGGACACCCAGATGATGTTAGAGTGAGCAGAGGTATGACTCTGAAGTTGAGGTCTATGAAGGGGAAGTGAGGGTACCCATGGATGCTCCCACACTTTGGTTGTTTTGCCATCCCCAATTTCCACAAGAAATCCTCCAGAGAAAGTTTCTTTGGTTTTCATCCAACTTCTCCAAAGCCATGAGCTAGATTGAGTAACCTTGCTTTCTAGAAGAGAACAATGTGGAAAGTATCTGGCCTTTAAGACTCGGCTGACAAGGAGATTAGGCTTTGTTATGATTCTCCAAAGCTGCTTCATAATAAGGGCTTGATTAAATAACTTCAGATCAGCAAAACCTAGTCCTCCTTCTGACAGTGGCAATGATATACAATCCCAATTTTTCCAATGGATGCCCTTTTTGTCAGAGTTGCCTTTGTTCCACCAGAAAGAAGCAATAAGTTGTGGTAGCTCATGACAGAGGCCAATAGGGAAAGTATAGCATGACATAACAAAGACAGGCAGGGCACACAATGTGGATTTGATCAGAATTTCTCTACTTGCTGTTGATAAATACTTGTTTTTCCAGCTGGAGATTTTGTTTCTCACCATTTCAGTCGCAAATGCAAAAGTGTCCCGTTTGGACCTACCAATGTTCAGAGGTAGTCCAAGGTATTTTGTTGAGGTTTTGACCTGCACTCCATTGAGAATTGAGCAGATGCTACTTTGGAAAGAGTTAGGGGTATTCCTGCTAAAGAAGATGGAGGATTTCTCCAGGTTGACTTGTTGTCCAGTGAGTCTGTGGTATGTGTTGAGGATGTTGAGGATGTTGTTAGCATTTTGTGGAGTTGCATGACAGAGGAGAAGGGTGTCATCCTCAAAAAGTAAATGGGACAAGATGGCCCACTTTTGGAAATCCTGATGCCTTGCTGATAGCCTTCAGAGGTGGCTTTTGAAATAATTTCTGAAAAAAACTCAGCCACAATGATGAAAATATAGGGGGAGATAGGATCTCCCTGCCTAATACCCCTGGTTGGAGAGAATGCAAAATATGAGACACAAGCAATAACCCAGTTAATGAATTTATGAGGGAACCCTATTTTTGCCATAATCAACCTAATACTATTCCATTCAATCCTATCAAAAGCCTTTGCCGTGTCAAGCTTGAGAACAATGTAATATTTATTCCCATTTAGACATGGCCATTCAACGGGTCCGGGCCCGGCCCGGCGGCCGCCGGTCCTCAACATCCTGGCCCGGGACCGAACCGCCAATTGTTTAGGAGAACCGGCCCGGATCCGGCTCGGCACGGCCCGCAGGGAAAAAAATAAAAAAAAAATAAAAAACACTTGAGCCCGGCCTCCAGCCCGTGACCAAGTCCCAGCCCGGCCCGGACCGTCGGGACCAAAAAAAATGAAGCAGCCCGGGACCGAACCGCGGCCCTCACGGTCCGGTTAAACGAACCTTCCCTTAGTGGCCGGTTACGGGCCGGTCCGGGCCGGTTCGGTGCTGGTTTCCGGTCCGAGTCGCGGGTCGGTTCGGCCCGTGGCCACCTCTATTCCCATTTCTATGTCTTTTGAGATAATGAATGGCCTCAGTTGCAATAATTACATTATCAATCAGGTGTCTAGAAGGGATGAAAGCAGCTTGACTTTTTTTCTTTTTTTTTTTCAAAGACGATAGAAATCTCATTAAACAAAATAGTTTACATCGAGAATACATCAGGGACTCAAAGCAGCTGGTATATAACAAAGATCAAACCTAAAGCCGAAAAATGGGAGAGCCACACGCAGGTGGTCTAGATAAACTAGCAAAACACTACAAAAGATAAAGAGCAACAGGAAGTAAAGCAGTGAAACACCACCGAACCTTTACCCCTGAATAGCTAAGATCAAGAAAAATAAAAGACAGCCCACTGATCTAAAATCCTAGCCTGTCTGCTATAAAATGATTTGCTATTGTTTAGCTATTGGCCCGAATCTCCCTTCTGTTCAAGAAACTATTCCAATCTTTAATAGCTCCTTGGACAATGAGGTGAGCAGGCCTTCGAACTCCTTCAAAAATACACAAGTTACGTGATTTCCAAAGCCACCATAGTATGTTTGTCGATAATTGAATTCGGGCTTCAGAAATATCTGATTTGTCTAAAGTACATATCTGCCACCACCATAATTTGAATGTGTCTTGATGTCCAGGTCCTTCCCAGTTAACAGGAGCCAATTTCCAGGTTTGTTGTGCTTGTGTACAATGAAAGAGAACGTGCTCGACTGTTTCTTGGTTTTCTCCACATACTCCGCAGATGGTGTTGACTTCAAATCCCCTCAGTTTCAGGTTGCAGCTAACCGGCAGAGAACCATTACAGCATTTCCATATGAAATGTTTAATTTTCCCCAATATGTTCAATCCCCAACTTCTTTTCCGAACTTTGATATCTCTAGCAAGGTCTGTACTTCCCTGAGCTGTGGCCAGTTTAAGGTATTTTTCTGTTATAAGTTTAGAGTAGATAGAATGTACAGAAAAAATACCTTTTTTGTGAAGAGTCCAAACCCATCTATCTTCTTGTTGAGGGTTAAGCGAGGTAATTGTCAGGATTAAATCACTTGAATCTGCTGGAAAAGTTCTCCTAACTTTAGCTTCATCCCAATGATATCCATCCTCTGCCAGTAGATCACAGACCCTGCTAATTCCTCTGTCTATACCTGGTAAGAGTTCAACTGTTCTGCCCACTCTGTTAGGTATCCAGTGAGTATCCCAAATATAAGTATTCTTCCCATTTCTAATTTCAGTTCTCATCCAATTTCCACAATCCTTTAAGACAGATAACCATGAGTTCCATAGCCAAGAGGAGTTAGGCTTTCTTTATGCTTCAAAAAGTGAACAATTAGGAAAATACCTTGATTTCAAAATTCTACTAGCAAGAGTGTTTGGATCTGTCAAAAGTCTCCATAGCTGCTTAGTGATTAGAGCTTTGTTAAATAGTTGGATATCTCGGAAACCAAGCCCTCCATGCTCCTTAGAGAATGACAGATTACACCAAGCCACCCAAGGGAAACCTCTTTGTTCTTTAGAATCCTTGCTCCACCAGAATTGACAACATACACTGGATATCTCTTTGCACAAACCTATAGGCAATACAAAACTAGACATAGCATAAACTGGTAGTGCCTGCAAGACAACTTTAATTAGGATTTCTTTGCCCGCAGTAGACAACCATTTATTTTTCCAATTAATAACTTTATTTTTAACCACCGAAAGTATGTACTGAAAGAATTCTTGCTTAGATTTTCCAATTCCAAGGGGTAGACCGAGATATCTAGTAGAAGAGTGGGCTTGAATACCATTCATCAAAGAGCAAATATTATTCCTTACCTGCAGGGGTGTATTTTTGCTGAAAAAGATTGTGGATTTTGATAAGTTCACTTCTTGGCCTGTGAAATCCTTGTAAGCCTGCAGAATGTTCAAAAGAAGGGCCACCTGCCTCATATCTGCTTTGCAAAATAGTAGAGTATCATCCGCAAACATGAGGTGGGTTAATAGAGGTCCCTCCCTAGATAATCTGACCCCCTTAAAACACCCTTTTTCAGCTTCAGAGTTCAGTTTAGCAGATAGTAGCTCGGAAATTATAAGAAATAGGTAAGGGGACAAGGGGTCCCCTTGCCTTATTCCTCTAGTAGCATTAATGTAACCACACAGACTGCCATTAATATTAACTGAAAATGAAGGGTTGATAATGCAAGCCATGATCCATTTGACAAATTGAGAATCGAACCCCATTCTAAGCATTGTGAGCTGAATAGCTTTCCATTCTAATTTATCAAATGCCTTGATCATATCAAGTTTCAATGACATGAACCAATTATGGCCACTTCTGTGCCTATTGAGAAAATGAAAAGCTTCATGACCAATGATTACATTATCTATAATATTCCTGCCCGGAAGAAAGGCAGATTGATTTTCTGAAATACATACATGGAGACACTGCCTCAGCCTCAAGGCTAGAATTTTAGAGATAATTTTGTAGAAGACAACACAAAGACTAATTGGTCTGAATTGGTGCACAGAAACAGGATTGAGACATTTTGGTACAAGTGTAATCAAGGTATGTTTCCAATACCTGAGGAGCTGTCCTGATTCAAAGAAGCTGATCACTGCAGAGCACAAGTCATGCTTAATGATAGGCCAGAAGTGTTGATAGAAGAGGCCAGTCATTCCATCCTCACCGGGGGATTTATCTGGGTGAATGCTAAAGAGAGCTGTTTTAATCTCACTTTCTTCAACCGGGGCTGTTAGGAGGCTGTTCATATCTTCAGTGATTTTTGGTTCTATAAGAGGCAGAAAGAGATGACCATTTTTGGACCCTTGTGTAGTGTATAGTTGCTCAAAGTAGTCTGTGATAACTTGCTCAACCTCCCTCTGATTTGCAGTCCATCTGTTGTCTTCCACAAGCAGTCTTTCAATTGAGTTGATTTTCCTTCTCTGTGCCACATAAGCATGGAAAAATTTACTGTTGCAATCACCATCCTTAAACCATAATGCCCGAGCCTTCTGCTGCCAAAAGATTTCTTCAGAGGTATTGGCTTCATCAAGCTCTTTTTTGAGTTTTTCCCAAGCTTCCCAGTTTCTATTGCCCCCTTCTTTCCTCATTTCTTCCAACTTTAATGACAAGTCTGTGATTTTCCTTGACTGATTCAAATTGAGCTCCTTACTCCAAAGCATAAGAGCTATTCTGGCCTTTTTGATCTTTTCCTTAACTGAGTACATAGGTGTGCCTTGACAGGGAGTATTCCAAGCTTTTGTGATCACCTCCTTCACTCCATCCTTAAACAGCCATCTTCTGTCGAAGATAAATCTCCTTTTGTGTTTGGCTTTCACATCAGAGGTATCAATGATCAGCTGGCAATGGTCAGATGCACTTTTGAATTGGCTATGAACAGTAGTGTTAGGAAATAGATTCCACCATTCAAGAGTAACAAAAACTTTATCCAGAGCTTCCTCCACAAAGCCCTCTCCCATCCTGTTATTTGCCCAGGTGAATGGCTCTCCTTGTAAAGGAAGTTCAAGCACCCCCATTCTTGCAAGAAAGTTGTTAAAGCCCCGAAAACTGTTGGTTGATCTTGTTCTGCCTCCTCTCTTGTCCTCTTTCCTACACAAATCATTCCAATCTCCTGCTAAGAACCATAGATCACCCCAATCTTCTTTAGCCTGAATGAGAAGATTCCACTGAAGTTCTCTTTCTGCTTTGTTAGGGCTGAGGTATACAAAAACTGCCCAGGCAGATACATTAGTAGCAATAATTTTATACTGTACAGCTATGAAAAAGTCATCATTAGTGATTTTAATAATTTCCATTTCCTGAGTCCAAAGCAAAATGAGCCCCATACAAGAACCTTTGGGCTCCACAGTGAAATTTCTGTTAATAAAGCCTAATTTTTTACAAACTGAAACAAAGAATTTTTTAGATTTTTTCACCTCAGAGAGGAAAATTAAACCTGGGTGGTGGAGCCTGATTGCTTCCTTGATTTGGGGAACTGTAGAGGGCCCCCCAGACCTCTACAGTTCCACCCCGGGAGCTAACATGGGTTCTGTGAGGGCTCTTGAAGGTTGGCCCTCTCCACCTTGTTCTGGTCTAGCTTTGCCTTCTTCTCTGCTTGCACAGTGTTCACTGAAGAGTTGTTCCCCATCTCCATATCCTCTGATGGTGCCCACCCTCTCTTTTTAGAAGATTCCTCCTCCATATCGGTCTCTTGGTTAGCCCTATTGATCCTTTCTGCCTTACTGTTGGATCTCTTCCAAGTTTTTTTGCCAGCAATAGATCCAGGCAAGATTCTTTTAGGGGGTTCATGTTGCTGTTGTAGAGGGATAGTACCAGCTGTGAGAAAGTTCTCCTCAGTGTTGCTTTTCAGTTGTAGAACCTGGGTATGCTTATGCTCATTTTTTTGCTGAATCCCAGGAGAAGGAGTAATAGAGAGCTGATTGTGTTCAAAGCCCTTAGATGAGGAATATGAGCCCATTTTGGAATAGCCTGAGTCCACCTTCTGAGGTATCATGTCATTAGTGTGTGGGAGATATCCAGGTCTTCATTGCTTGGTGGAAGAGGGGAAAGGTGATCTCTTGGTTGGTCTGATGATATACTAGCTTGGGTCCAATTTTGTCCTTGTAGTCCTGTCAATGCTCTCATCCATTCCCCGAATTGACCTTCCTTTAGAGATTTAGCAGAGACATCCTCCATTCTTATTTTGCAGGTTCTTTCATAGTGTCCAACTCTGCCACAGTAATAGCAAATATTGACTAATCTTTCGTACTTGAATGTTACCGTGGCTGTTTGGTTTCCAAGTCTTATTGTTGTGCAACGTGGTAAAGCTTCTCTTATATCAATTGAGACCAGAAGTTTTATAAGCCTACCGCCTTGGTAGCCCAAATTACTAACAAGGACATTTGATACAGATTTGAAGATATGTCCTATTTTGATTCCAACTTCCGATGTAAGCCAGTTGAGAGGAACATTGTGGACCTGCACCCATAAGTTCAGGAAATTGAAACAATCATTTGTGCTCCGAAGCCCCTCTCTCCAGCCTTTTAAAACAAGAAATTGGTTTTCAAATATCCAGTTGGTTCCCGCAGCCACTTTCTGTAGATCTTCTGCATCTTCGAAGATGAATTGAAAAAAATTGTAGCTTAATTCACGAACCTCTAAAGGGCCTTTTAATTTCCAGGTCTGACTCATAGCTTTCTTCACCCCTGGAAGATGTGCCTTTTTTTCACCTATTATCTTCCCAAAGAGGCTTTTATGGCATTCAACATTACTAGCTTTGACATCATCTGAGCCCAGATCTATGACCACATTTTCCACTGATGATAAGGAAAAAGTTCTCAGTCGTTGCTCCACCTCATCCGTGACATTGCAGGGATTAGGGTTAGCCATAAGGTTATTGATGCAAAATAGGAAGATATAAGGTTTGGGAAAAGCGAATTCAAAGAAGAAATGGCGTGAATCTAACAAAATACACAGATTGCTTGCGGAATTTTTGAAACTCTCCTATGAGAGAAGAACTCTCCAGTGAGAGAAAGAAACCCTCCTAGAGAGAGAATAAACTTGCAGCTTGACTTTCAGAGATACAGTTATGAAGGCAGTGCTTAAGTCTTAAAAGGCAGCTTTAATGACTAAAAATATAAAAATAATGGAATTGTATCAAACTGAGAAAGCTTAGGTACAAAGTCTATTTTCACCCTATATTTCTGCCTAAATAAATAAATTAGCACTAGCACAAAGAGTGTTGGGGATGAAAAATAAGTTGACAAGGTGCCAACAACCAATGTTGTGCCTTAAATTATTTCTTTTGTTACTAATACAATTTTTTGTTTAAGAGTCTAAACATTAGATATGTGCTCCTCAAACATAGATGTATATTTTCACTATTAAAAATCATACTTCTGTTTATATTATTTTAAAAAGTATGACATTTTTCCATGAGTTTTATTTTGCCTAATGGACAGAAGACCTATCGTTAATTTTAATAACTTCATGCACATGAAGAGAGTGAGAACAGAGAAACAACATAAGATCACACAAAAACAATTCAGATAGAACCATTTACAGTTTATGTTCAAACAAATGTCAAACTGTGAAAAAGTTTAGATAAGAACTCACTTCCTATTTTGTCTTCCCAGCTAAAGGTATTTTTCCTTACTAGCAAGATAAATACTATAAGTATATGTGTAAAGCTTCCTACTAACAAAATATAGAAATAAAAAATGTCTAGGCCTGATCATCAAAAACTTTGAATCCTTTAACAAATTGGAGAATGTATATGGAAGTCCAATTTGATCATTCCTTGATGATACTTTGTGAAGTCCACTTGAGATGCAAAGTGAGCTTCCCAGATTTTGCACCATCAATCGGAAAAGTGTCTGTAAATTCGCCTTCGACTATAGCCCTCGTTAACGTCATGGTGCACCTTCCCATCTTATCCTAAAT